AGGATGCCATAAGGGAGGATTGCTGGAGCCCAGGAGGTCATGTCTGTTGTGAGCTATGATCTTGCCAATGCACTTCAGCATAGATGTCACTGTGAGACTGTCTCAAAAAAAATTGTAAAAATAAAAATTTAGAAAAAACGAAGCATGACTTTGATGTTCTCTGAAGGCGGGCTGCCTGTTTTCAATGCTCAGTTCTGCCAGTGATTTACTGGGCAAAACAGAAATACTATTAGCATCTGCATCATAGGAATTGTATGAGCTGAGAAGTAAACAAGTTAATAGTGAGTTAATAGGTTTCATGCTTAGAACAGTACGAGAAACCCAGTGAGTACGAAAGAAGTATTAACTGTTATTATTCAGATATGTGTACATGTTTAGCCATCTAAATGTATTAAATTTCCAGGTTTTGCCTCTGATTATTTCTGCACATATGTTACTAGTCTTCTCTGAAACATAATTCCACTTTTTCTAACTCTTTGTCTTTCTAATAAACCAGCTGCCATCAGACTTTGCACGAAGGATACATATTTAGGAAGCTGGCACAGCACTTTACACTTAAAAAATAAATGGGGTATTATTATGCCAAAAAAATGCAGATTTGCAAATTTCCTTCTTCTTTGTTGATGGTTCCTCTGATACTATTTTTCTTTGAGTTCTACCCCATACCCCAGATTTTTTTAAATCTCAGTTGTTCCAGTTTCCAGTCTACAATATATTTGTGAAATCACTGCTAAATCTCCACAGCATCAATGTAAATCTTACATGACATTAGTTTAAATTAAAAAAATTATCTCTTCTCCAATATGTTCATTATAATCTTGTTATGAGGAACTATTGAACAATATTTATATTCCCGTAAATATGACTCACATACACACAATAGAAGTGAAAGTGCATTATGAATGTTGCAGCCAATTTCATTTTAAAAAGAGTTAAGTTTTCACTAAATATCCATGTTATTAGATAAACATTTCTTTTTGGACTGATGAGCATTCTTTACTTAAACAACTGGAAGACAAGGAAATGTGGTAATACTTCTAAGAGGAGGCAGCAGGATTAAATGCAGTGCACGGCTAATCCTTTTAAGATGGCTGCTTAATAACGTCACAAATAGGCACAATTTCAAACAACATTACAATAAATTTAACTTAATAAAGGTAAAAGGGAGAATAGAATACCTTCATCATCCTAAGTGCTGATTTGAATGAACTTTTCCTTCCTTGGAGTATAATTGCTGCTTCACTGCAAATGTATTTTTTTAATGTAGCTCTTACGAGTACAAGAAATAAGCCCTTGCTTCACTTTTTGTATACTAAATGTGCAATTAAAACATCATTACTCTGCAGTAGCAGGTTTTCTCATTTAAGCCTGAGAAAAGCTGCCATTACATTAGTCATAACTATATGTGAATGCACTTGTTATATCTTAAAGCACCTTAGGGGCAATGAGGTATCATGAAATGAAAGACACCTATTGGTCAGGGATATTCATGCATGAACAAGCTGACCATACAGCTTTCAGGAATTACAAAATGAAGAACACCTATTGTTCTGGGATATTCATGCATGAGCAAGCTGACCAGACAAGTTTCAGGTAAGGAAAGGTGACATTTGAATCACTTTTATAAACATACTCATCTCTGTGAAAAACTAAGCCAATATTTTACTTTCACGATGATGGAGGTGATGCCTATAGCCCTGAAAACAATCATATTTTGATACCACAGCTTAATTTTACCTCCAAAGAACTGCTTCTGCTGGATTGGCCTGAACATTCAACACTTTGAGATATGTTCAAAATTTCAGCTAAGATCAACATTTCCACTAAAGAACCTTGAACTGTTCTCAGTTATGCATTTTATAAATTCTTGAAAAATTTAACAGCCTTAGGTGAGTGGCAACAGTAATTTCAAACAACAGAGAGCATTTCTGTAGTTAACTGATTATATTTAGGTGTTAAATCAGTGAGTCCCAGTGTAGGAAGCAAAACAAAGAAAAGATTCTCCAGGCTTGGCATATCATCTTCCTAGACTTCTGGAAACAAATAGAATACCAGATACGCCTGAACGGAGCAGCCTCATTCTGCTAGTCAGAACACAAGGGTTTTATATACCAGTGTTACTACCTACTAGTTGCAGAACTTTGGATAAGTCATTTCAAAACAAATCTCTGAAACTGGAAAGTTTATCTACGAAGCACATTGGCTGGAGTCACTGAGCTTCTAACTCACTTCTTGCCTCCAACTACTGTGACCTTTCTTAAGAAACACTACTTCTAAATGGTATAAAACTTTGTTCTGATCACCTAAATTCTTCCGTGGTATAACCACTTTGAAGACTTTATGTTCTAAAAGGCCTAATCATTATATTAGAATGCAGAACTAGTGAGCTTTTACCACAAATGGAACATCTGTCAATGGCTTTCAGCTTCCTCTGCTGTGCAAATGAAGATCTCGACTGGAAATGAATCTTTTGAACAGATGGACCTGCACTATTTCTTGGAACTTTGAAAGTTGTACAGTGTGCCTGCCATGAACTCTTCTACGTGACTCATGGAAGTAGATGACTACATTGCCATTTATGCACATTTATCCACTCAGAAGCAGACCAGCCATTTCTCTCTGGATGACATTCACTGCTAGTAAAACAAAGCATTTTCTGCTTTTTCTTTGAGTAGTTAATAAATTCCTTTAAAAACTTAAAAAAAAAAAATTTGTTAAGCCAAGACTTTGCTTCTCCCTCCCTTGGTACCCCAACCACACACTGTTTCAGGTGCAGAATCACACGCACAAAATTAAGATAATGGTGAAAGTTAACAGATACAGAATAAAGAGAAATCTCTTGAAGACATCCCAAAACTCCTTAAGCCAGGAAAACAATTATTTTAAATGCCTCAAGGAAATCTGAGCAGAATTTTTAAGATGTTAATTCCACATGTCAGCAAAGTTCATACATTTTTACAGACAGTTGAGATTTTGAACTCAATTGGAAGGTACTTTACCGCTAAATTTGATATTAAGTTCATTTTTTAGACTAGTCTCCCATTTGTAAAAGAGTAATTTGAACTGATAGTTTTTATCCACGTTCAGCCAGAAAGCTTTACTTTAAAAGTTTCAATCTGGTCAAGAATCACCTTCCTCAAGAATTCCAGCCTCACTATGGAAGTTTTAAAAATTATGCTTAAAAAAAAAAATGAGCTTAAGATAGTTGGAATTAAAGGCGAAGAAGAGCTAAAACTTGGAAGAGATGCCTTTTAGTAAGTAGCCTAGAAAGTATTTTCTCTTCACTTCTTGCTTGGTTTGTGTTACAAATACAAATGGCTCTTAGGGACAACTTTTCCTTGAGATACTGAAATTGCAAAAATTGTATCAGGGAGAATATTACAGCAGTTGGGTGGATGTAATCTAGCCAACCCCTATTTTGCCTCTGGCATTCAAGCTGATCTTAATTATTCCTGGGTTTAAGCCAAGCTAACATTGGAAGACATTGAGTTTACAGTTTCAGTAATAATAGCCCTCCTCCAAACTCAACCACCTTTGTAAAGCTAAGGAAAGACCACCAGGCTAGGAGGACAGAGGAGCCTGCATTCTGCTAAGGCATAGACATAAATGATTGCCAGTCATTATTCTGGAGATCACAATAAATACATATTATTCATCTACTCCTACAGATAACATCACTGTTGTAGAACCTAAGATGGGTCTTTGAAGATATCTTTTCAGGGTTTTTGCACGTCTGACAGCAATGACTCCACTTGGACCCACCAACCACTGTGGCCCTACCCAGAAGCAATTCAGCCCACAGGAGGACTATTTCCCACACCCATGTGATTGCATCACCAACTGACAGCAGCTAGCAACCATTCCCTTGCCACTCCCACCCCTTCCCCGAAACTATCTTTGAAAAGCCCTAGCGCCCAGATTACCAGGGAGTTTGATTTGAGTAATAACTTCATCTCCTGCGTGGTGTGACTGGCCTCTCATCAGTTAAACTCTTTATTGCAATGCCATGGTCTCCATGAATTGATTTTGTTTGTGCAGTGGGCAGAAATAACCCTTTCGGCAGTTACCTTCCTGTCTGAATGAAGAATATGTTGCTGTCACTTAAAAGGACTTGATGTAACTTGTGGAAGGACAAAACTAGTACCAGCAGTTTTTGAGAACATGCCAGAAGCAGAACATGGAGACTTCTCTCCTCTCCATCCTTATCTTCTTCCATAAAATTAAGAGATGATCATTTAATATGTGGTAAATCTTTGATAAAAAAACCTTCTTCTGTAAATTTCAAACTAAAGTCTATTTTCTGGAGGATAGGACAACATAGATGGGGTGATGTTTTAACATGTTGTATGCTTTTGATTTTTTTTTTTTCCTGCTTCCTAGATGTAATTCTTTTTGGACTTTTCTGATAACTATCATAGTTCACTAATTTTGAATTTCCAAAGTTTATCAAAATATAAATGCTTAAATCTAACTATTTGTAATGCTTAGATGCAGGTATGAAATAACATTCAATTATGGGGCAATTTAAATATACAAAGAATGGACCATTAGATAAGAATGCAGCCTTTATTTGGTTTATGGAGATTAAGTGAAAGTCTGATGGCTCAGTACTTTTCATGCTAATTTCCATAAAATAGCACTTTGAACACTAATAGAAGTCCAAGAATATATCCAGATTTTTGTACTATCCATTTCCTATTTTTGATAAAACAATACTGCAGAGCCATCGTAGGTGACAAAACATAATGGCTCTTTGTGGCCAATCGTTTGTTCAGTGTATGGGCCTAATATCAGTTTAAAGAATGATGCCTCTTTCCACTTTTTAATAAAGATATTCCAATGCCTTTTTTTTCCTGACCATTGAGGTGGTTCTTTGCCCTCTGACTCCCTAAAGCTGTACCAAGTTCACTGTCTCCCTCTGAAATCAAGGGCATTGAAATGCTAATGGAACCACAAGAAAGAGTAGGTCGTAGTTAATCTTGTTAGCACCATGTACACACCTGCTGCTCTGTGAGAAATAAACCCAGACGGGAGCTCATTTCTGGAGTTGTTTTGAATCTTTACTTCTCAATGAAACTTCTGTCCCTTCCTCAGAATCCGACCAACACTAGGATTCGCCACAACTAGTGCTCCAACGTGGAGCCAAAATTTTTTTGAGTGTGGAGAAATCAAAAATTGTCATCAGGCACAGCAGAAACCTTCTCTTTCTACTTCTCCATTCGAACTTGAAGAGTTTTACACGTTTGCCTAAGGAACAAACACATGTCAGGCACTCCACTGTTTAACAGATTATAACAGAAAGCAAACCTGGGAGAAAGGGGACATTACAACAAGCATAAAAGTACAACAAGACAATAATGTCGTTCACCTCCAAAAAGCTCACAATGTGGATAGGTTTGTATTTCCCTTAGAGGATTATGTACTCTTAGTACTTTTTTTTTTTCAATTTCAAAGAGACATGTGCCTTTACAGGAGACTAAAATAAACAACTTTTACAAGAAATTGAAAAAAAAAAGGATAGTAAGCATTTCTTGTGAGTATTTGGGAAGCATTCTGCACAAACCTAAGAAAAATGTTCATTAAAAGCAAGGAAGAAAACACACAGAAATAAAAAAATAGTCATTTAAGCAAAAAAGTGCAAAATAATTGTGGAAACCATATTAGGTAGTTATAATCAATTATAATTCAAAGATATAATATTTGTGATCTTAACCATTCATAGCCCTGCCTGAACATCCACACCTAGAGTAGTTTATAATTTGCTGAAGCAGGAATTTGAATCGTACACACTTTAAGGCTGATAAATGAAACCAAGTCATTTAACCAACGTATGGCTCTAGTCACCCCTGTGCGGCATTCTTTTTTTCCTTTTATAAATTTTTTTGAGACGGAGTCTTGCACTGTCCCCCAGGCTGGAGTGCAGTGGAACAAGCTCGGCTCACTGCAACCTCCACCTCCCAGGTTCAAGCGATCCTCCTTGTCCCAGCCTCCCAAGTAGCTGGGACTACAGGCACCCGCCACCATGCCCAGCTAATTTTTTGTGTTTTTAGTAGAGATGCGGTTTGACTATGTTGACCAGGCTGGTCTCAAACTCCTGACCTTGTGATCCACCCACCTCAACCTCCCAAAGTGCTGGGATTACAGGCAAGAGCCATCATACTAGGCCAGCATTCACTTTTCGAGCCAACTTTGTTGCTCTCTACTTATTATTAATTACGTAATCCTCCTTAACAGTCAGAATGAGATTTATGATATTTTTCAGTTATACCTTATGATATTTTATAGGTATAGACATTTAAAAGTTTTACTGGCTGGGCGCAGTGGCTCATCCCTGCAATCCCAGCACTTTGGGAGGCCAAAGCAGGTGGATCACCTGAGGTCAGGAGTTCAAGACCAGCCTGACCAACATGTTGAAATGCTGTCTCCAATAAAAATACAAAAAATTAGCCGGGCATGGTGGTGGGCATCTGTAATCCCAGCTACTCTGAAAGCTGGGGTAGGAGAATCTCTTGAACCCAGGAGGCAAAAGTTGTAGTGAGCCGAGATCACACCACTGCGCTCCAGCCTGGGTAACAAGAGCAAGACTTCATCTCAAAAAAAAAAGGTTTTATTTATACTCCCTTTTTCAAAGTACTCCAGCAACATCGAAACATACTATTTGATTTTTAAATATATGAATAATAATTTAATAGTTGAGAGAAAACTATGAGTAACAATAATAAATAATAATAAATCACATAGACAATTGGCCATTAATAGTAATTTAGACTCTGACAATAGAGGGTTTTTGGTTGCATAAGTTAAAAACAAAGTAGAGTACTTTTTACATAAATTGGAGAGGTTGGAATAGTTAAAACTAATAGCAAGAAAAAGACTAATCACGTAATTAGTAGAAAAATATGTTTTCCAATTTTGAAAATATTTGTGTTATTGAGCAATTAGAACAGACCCCTGTTTCCTTTTTTTTTTTTTTCATACCCCCGTTTTCTTATCACTGCTAATCTTGGCCTCACCCTACCAAACCAGAAAATGTAACGTATAAATGATGGTTTGAGGAAGAGTGGAACTTTTGTATCCTGATCACAGTCTAGTTGCCTTTATTTAGATAAATCAAAGCCAGCACAGTTGCCATGTGGGTCAGTGTCATGACTTGCAGTGGACACATGTGGCTGAAGATAAATGATGAATTCTGAGAAAATCTAGAAGAGTTTTTTTTTTTTTTTTTTTTTTTTAGAAAAAGCAAGTTGAACATGGATAAATATATCATCTATACATTTCCAATTCTCCATTTTCTTTACATTGTTCAAAAACATAGAAATGTTTTCAGGAACCGTTTTTTTTAAACGAATTTCATATATACCCATTGAACATTTTAAGAGTAGAATAACTTTTTTCTATATGTTGTATATCTAATCAGTTACTAATCTTTCTGATCTATTTCCTACTCTCTGTTTCACTGCCACACTCTTTATTCCACCTGGTGTGTATAATGGCAATAATGTCCTGACTTGTCTTCTTCCTTGCTGTTCCTTCCTCCTCCTCATTGCCACCACCATCCTGAAAAGAAAAATCTGTAATACAGTCCTATTACAGGAAGAAATCTAAACTTATTTATAATAGATAAGATCCTTCATGATTAGAACTCAACCACCCAGCTTCATCCTCACTTCTTCACAATCTTTCCACAAAACATGTATGCTCCACTCTAGTCACACCTATTTAATAATTCCCAGCTATTTAATAATTCTAGACATGATGTGCCCATTCATGTCTCTTTATCTTTGTGTTTGTTTTAACTTTGCCTAAAATACACTTGTTTCAAACCCCAGAAGAAATATGACCACTTCATGATTTATCTAATCAGCACTTTGTCATAGTTCTATTATAAGACATATTTCATCATATTATGATTATTAATGTGTTTGTTTCTCTCAGTAAAATATGAGGTATTGGAGAATAAGAATACTGGCATACTTTTGTTTCCTCAGTGCTAAGCAGCATATCAGGCACATAAATGATGCCTAATATTTATTAATGAAAGACTGAAATAACGGATGCATGGAGAGATGAATAAACAAAGGAACACATGAATGAATTAATGTAAGAAAAAAGGTGATAAGTACTTTCAGAAGAAAGAAGGCTAGAATCAATATTTGGATTCTTTGTAAACAGCAAGGGGGGTGATTAAATGACCCAAAAGTTCAGTTCCTCAATTTTTAATTTTTCTAGAATTTTACCCATGATTCTGCAGATTCGGAATTTGAAATTATAGATATGCATGGGTCCTGACATTCAGCTTCACATTTTCACCTCAGATATTTAAATTTATTCTCATTTGTAAAAGGTCTAATTTTAAAAACAGTATTAATTCATGAAAATAATAACGCAAGAAGATAATAGCAACCTGTGATGCTCTAATTGGTATTAGACTAATCACTTGGGATGCAGAAAATGTCCAAATGAATGCATCAAGGTGGATGTTAGCATGTTCACTACAGTTAATATTTCAGTTAGAAGCTATTAAAAAATTACACCTATCTCCTGAGTAATTTCCCTACAGCTGCTTAACACTGTCAGGAAGTTTATCTCATGAAATATTTTGTGAGACAATTATCCTACACCTAGGAATTACATGCTTACTTGACATCAGATATGGTGGTGCAAATAAAATAGCATCAGATTTCCTATAAAAGAACACAGTAAACAAATAGCACAATGATTGGTTTACTATTGCCCTCAAATAATATTATGCATGCAGTCACATGCACACACACGGTTCAGGATGCCTGATCTTTTCCCTGCCTTTTTTCTTTTCCTATTAAATCTGGAGACTAGTATTTTTAAATCCCAACAGAAGCTAATCTTTTGTGTGTGGGCATGATTTTTATTTTTTATTGTTGATACTTTGTTTTGAGATTTCCCCTTCATAATAGTTTCTCAATGTGGAACTGCTTGAACAAAGGGAAGGCACATTTTATATTGTTTGGTTTTATTTTCTTTCCTACTTATTTTTAATTTCAGTACTTTTGAAAAAAGAGGTGGTTTTTGGTTACATGGATAAGTGCTTTAGTGGTGAGATCTGAGATTTTGTCCACCTATCATCCGAAGAGTGGCCATTATACCTAATATGTAGTCTTTCATACCTCACCCCTCTCCAACCCTTCTCCCTGAGTTTCCAAAGTTTATTGTACCATTCTTACTCCTTTGTGTCTGCATCGTTCAGCTTTCACTTATAAGCGAGAACATAAGGTGTTTGGTTTTCCATTCCTTAGTCACTTTACTTAGAATAATGGCCTCCAACTGCATCCAGATTGCTTTGAAAGACATTATTTCTTTTTATGGCTGAGTAGTATTCCATGGTGTGTGTGTTTTGCAAGTGGTTGTACTAATTTATATTCCCCCCAGCAGTGTAAGTGTTCCATTTTCACCATGTCCATGCCAACATCTATTTTTTTTTATTTTTAAAATTACGGCCATTCTATTGTGGTTTTGATTTGCATTTTCCTGATAATTAGTGAGGTTGAGCATTTTTTTCATGTCTTTTGGTCATTTGTATATCTTTTTTTGAAATTGTCTATTTAAGTCCTTAGCCCACTTTTTGATGGGATTGTTTGTTTCTTGCTGATTTGCGTTCCTTTGTAGATTTTGTATACTAGTTTTTTGTTGGATGCATAGTTTGCAAGTATTGTCTCCCACCGTGTGGGTTGTCTGTGTACTCTGCTGATGATTTCTTTTGCTGTTAGAAGCTTTTTAGTTTAATTAAGTCCCATCTATTTATATTTGTTTTTGCCACGTTTGCTTTTGGGTTCTTTGTCATGAACTCTTTGCATAAGCCAATGTCTAGAGGAGACTTTCTGATATTATCTTCTAGAACTTTTTAGTGATATTTGGCCCTATCCCATTTATGGCAAACTGGTTTGAAATGTATAGCAGAGACAAAGCCAAAAATTATTTGGCTCTTCCAAATATTTATTCTCATGACTTGAAGGCTATATTGCCTGGGTTTGACCCCAGCTTTATTGCTTACTCACAATGTAACTTGGGAAACATCTTTTTATTTTTATGTTTTATTGAGGTAAGACATGGACATAGAATTTACCATCTTTGCTATTTGTGAGTGTACAGTTCAGTCATAATAACTACCTTTTTTATTATTGTTCCCCTTTGTCATCCCCTCTCTCCTTCTGCCAACTAACAATCTACTCACTATTTTTATGACTTGACAACCTCTTTATGCCTCAGTCTCC